TGAGCTACAGCTCACTTCATCGGATGCATACTGTGGAAAGTGTAGAAGATCTTTTTATATACACACAAAGCTCACGAAAGCTTATGCTCAAATAAATTGGTTAGTCTCTAAGGTGCCACAAGTACTCCTTTTCTTTTTCCAAAGAACAAATGTCAATATACCCACCAGTATTGCCAACCCCATTTATTCAAAATTCATGAGTCGAGCCTTCAAAACACCATAAATTGGCTTTAAACAATTAATTTTAAAAAATAATAAATTGCAGGGTCTTTTTATTTGCCTTTGTTTTTTCACTTGGGCCACATCTGCTTTTCTCCACAACCATTAGGGCTAGAAACTGACTTTTTAAAAAAAATGAAAGCTGAGATTCTCATGTAATCATCTAACTCCAGGGGCTGGGGCTTTAACAAAAACACCAAAATATCATGAGACCTGCTATAAAATTATGGGAGTTAGCAACATTGACACCCTGCTATACAGTTAAAAACCTATGTTGGGTGAAAGTTACTAAAAAGATGCTTACTATAAATGGAACAGAATCACATAGAGGGCACAGGCAGCATAATAGGAAAATTCTCAAATGCCTTCCAAGACCTAGATTAACTGGATGGAAAGTACCACATTAAGATAGACAAATCTGAAATTTCAGCAATCTATCCAGGAAGGAAACTTTCCATTTGCCCTCAGAAATGAAGCAGAAAATTAACCTGATAACATGGAAAATCTGGGAACTATTGGAAAGTTAGAGCAACCTATCCGGTGGGACAATTCCAACCTTGCAACTGAAAGAGCCAAATAAAGTATGGATGTGCTGTCAAGGTTCCTTCCCCACTCTGAACTCTACGGTGCAGATGTGGGGACCTGCATGAAAGACCCCCTAAGCTTATTCTTACCAACTTAGGTTAAAAACTTCTCCAAGGTACATACTTTGCCTTGTCCTTGAACAGTATGCTGCCACCACCAAGCGTTTTAAACAAAGAACAGGGAAAGAGACCACTTGGAGACATCTTCCCCCAAAATATTCCCCCCCCAACAAGCCCTACACCCCCTTTCCTAGGAAAGGCTTAATAATAATCCTCACCAATTGGTACAGAGGAACACAGACCCAAACCCTTGGATCTTAAGAACAATGAAAAATCAATCAGGCTCTTAAAAGAAGAATTTTAATTAAAGAAAAGGTAAAAGAATCACCTCTGTAAAATCAGGATGGTAAATACCTTACAGGGTAACCAGATGCAAAACATAGAGAATCCCTCTAGGCAAAACCTTAAGTTACAGAAAGACACAAAAACAGGAGGAATATACATTCCATTCAGCACAACTTATTTTATCAGCCATTTAAACAAAACAGAATCTAACACATATCTAACTAGATTGCTTCAAAAACTCTTTACAGGAGTTCTGACCTGCATTCCTGCTCTGGTCCCGGCAAAAGCATCACACAGACAGAGAGAACCTTTGTTTCATCCCCCCCGCCAGCTTTGAAAAGACAGTCTCAGTATGAGATGCAGGACATGCATTTTTTGCTGTAAAGTTAGATGAGTCGAGCTATAAGCTAGTGACTTATTTGGAAGTTGTACATTTAAATGAGTACCATTCTGTTTTCATTCCACCCCAGAAGCATTTCAAAGAGCAATTGCACAGACTTTTGAAAGGTTGACAAAGTGCTGAATTATACTGGATGAAATTCTAATATGAGCTGGGGAACGTAAAGAACATAATTAAATACTGAGCAATTTTTGTAAATACCAAGACAAAGAGACCTAACACCAAACTTTAAAAAGTAAACTGCTGGTCCAACAGAAACTATCTACTATCTAACTATCTAAACTGTACAAAGGTGGCTTAACTGCTGATTTAGATAAAACAAAATAACAGTTCCAATACAGGCACCACAGAGAACTAAGGCATACATTTTTGTCAGTGCGGGTGAGTAATCATCAGAACATACTCCTGAGGGCAGTGGTGGATTCTCAATCTCTTGATGTCCTCAGATCGAGACTGGATGCCTTTCTGGAAGATATGTTTTAGTCAAATACAAATTATTGGGCTCAATACAGGGGTAACTGGGTGAAATTCTATGGCCTGTGATCAGACTAGATGATCTAAGGGTCCCTTGTGGTCTTAAAATCTATGACTCTATGGGTACATCTACACTGCAATAAAAAACAGCGGCACTGAGTCTTAGAGTCAGGGTCAATTGACTTGGGCTTATGGGGTTTGGGCTGCGGGGCTAAAACTTGCAGTGCAGACGTTCGGGGCTTGGGCTGGAGCCCAGGCTCTGACACTCAACCTCCTAACAGGGCTTCAGTCCCTGGCTCCAGCCCAAGCCCAAATGCCTATAATGTAATGTTTAGCTCCACAGTCCGAACCCTGTGAGCTCAAGTCAGCTGATCTTGGCCAGCCGCAGCTGTGCTGCAGGCCTTTTATTGCAGTGCAGATGTACCCTATGAATGAACAGTGATTTAAGGGGTGATAAACAAGCAAAATGAATTTAAAATGTACAGATGATCAATACACTTTTAAGGGAACTGCTGAAAAAATTATATTACTTGGCATTTGGGAAAATAGACAAAAACTGGATTCCTCGAGGAACAGAAAAGGTCATGAGAAAATCTGTGCCAGTGAGTGCAGAAGCATGACAGGAACCATTGTAGAATCACTACAGACACCAGCATTGCTAAGGCTGACAAGTCCAGGCACCTATGAAGGGAAGTCAGAATACAGTCAAGGGGAACTTTAACAGTCATGCCTGGAGAAAAATCTCCCAGACACTAACAGGACTGAAATACACTACAATGAATTAATGACACGACTTTGGAAAATGTTACATCTACTGACCATGCTGATAGCTTACTTCTATGTTGTTTTAGGGGGATTTAAAGATAGATCTCACATGGGGCTGACTGTGCTAATGGGAAGCCTCTCAGCATGCCCATTATGTTCTAAAAAGTTCGAGAAGTATAATGAAAGTGCTGTGCCTTCTTTTCAGCCAGGCTGACTCCTGAATGCTCATTACACAAGCCATAACAGTGAGAACAATGCTCTCAGCCCCTGGTGGTTCAGAGAAGAAAAGTGGAAGTGCTTTGCATTGCTCACTAGGGCTTTGTCTACAGTAGCACTTTTGATAGTAAAATATTTTTGCCATGAAAAATAATGGAAGCAAACTTCAAGTGTATCTTTTTTTCCCCATTGGGCCTTAAGAGCACACTTGTCAAGGGAGCATAAACCCCTCCCCTTCTTCTCTCATGTCATCTTGTTGCGTTAGCATTGGCTAAAATCAAATAATTCTGTGACCACCTATTCAAATGATGACTGAACTTAGAAGACAATAACATTGTCTCTGTCAGGGGGGTAATATAAATAAGTAAAATACTAACGAATAATAAATGTAATTTTTGACCAGGTTAAATTCTGTGCCTCAGGAGTCAGACTGGGATGGTTTTGGGGCTTGGTCTGGAAAATCACGATACCAGGGTATTATTTTCGTTTTACTTATTATTTCCCCTGTGGCAGCACCTACAGGCCTCTAGCCCCATTGTGATGGCTATATACAAAGAAATCAGACATGGCCCCTGCCCTGAAGAGTTTGCAATCCCAGTATGAGACTCGGGGGGTAGGAGAGACAAGGTGGGTGAGGGAATATCTTTTATTGGCCCAACTTTTTTTTTGTTCAATATCTTCATAAATGATCTGGAGGATGGTGTGGATTGCACTCTCAGCAAATTTGCGGATGATACTAAACTGGGAGGAGTGGTAGATACGCTGGAGGGGAGGGATAGGATACAGAAGGACCTAGACAAATTGGAGGATTGGGCCAAAAGAAATCTGATGAGGTTCAATAAGGATAAGTGCAGGGTCCTGCACTTAGGACGGAAGAACCCAATGCACAGCTACAGACTAGGGACCGAATGTCTAGGCAGCAGTTCTGCGGAAAAGGACCTAGGGGTGACAGTGGACGAGAAGCTGGATATGAGTCAGCAGTGTGCCCTTGTTGCCAAGAAGGCCAATGGCATTTTGGGATGTATAAGTAGGGGCATAGCGAGCAGATCGAGGGACGTGATCGTTCCCCTCTATTCGACATTGGTGAGGCCTCATCTGGAGTACTGTGTCCAGTTTTGGGCCCCACACTTCAAGAAGGATGTGGATAAATTGGAGAGAGTCCAGCGAAGGGCAACAAAAATGATTAGGGGTCTGGAACATATGAGTTATGAGGAGAGGCTGAGGGAGCTGGGATTGTTTAGCCTGCAGAAGAGAAGAATGAGGGGGGATTTGATAGCTGTTTTCAACTACCTGAAAGGGGGTTCCAAAGAGGATGGCTCTAGACTGTTCTCAATGGTAGGAGATGACAGAACGAGGAGTAATGGTCTCAAGTTACAGTGGGGGAGGTTTAGATTGGATATTAGGAAAAACTTTTTCACTAAGAGGGTAGTGAAACACTGGAATGCGTTACCTAGGGAGGTGGTAGAATCTCCTTCCTTAGAGGTTTTTAAGGTCAGGCTTGACAAAGCCCTGGCTGGGATGATTTAACTGGGAATTGGTCCTGCTTTGAGCAGGGGGTTGGACTAGATGACCTTCTGGGGTCCCTTCCAACCCTGATATTCTATGATTCTATGATTCTATGATTCTAACTTGGGCAGGTGAGCGAGACAGGCAGAGCTGGCAGGAGAAGCGCCAGGTAAGGATGCTGTGACTGAGATCAGGGCCCGCATGGTGCAGCCAGGCGCAGAGAGGCTCCCAGGGAGCCCCAATCCCGAGCAGGGGTCACCTGCGTGCAGCAGGCTGCTCCCCCCACAAAGCTGGGGGCGGGGGAAGGAGAACCCGGGGTGGCATCTCGGTGGGGGGAGCGGGGTTTCCTGCCCTTGGGCCTCCCCTCACGCTGCTGGGGGGGAGGGGGCAGCCACTGCCCCGCGCTCTCTGCCTCCCCAGAACCACTGTGAGAGCTTCCCCACCACCCACCAGGTGCCCAGCGCGCCCTCTGCGCATGTGCGGGACGGGCGGGGTGTGGAGTGCCGATGACTGTCCCGAGCGCCTGTGCCCGAGCCGCTAGCGGAAGTGGCGTGACGGAAGACCGGAAGTGTGGCGAGGCTGAAGTAGGAGGCGGTGTATCCTCAGGCTGGAAGTGTGGCAGGGCTGCTGGCGGAAGCGGCGCGGCGGAGGACCGGAAGTGTGGCGGGGCTGCCGGCGGAAGCGGCGCGGCAGAGGACCGGAAGTGTGGCAGGGCCGAAGGAGGAGGCGGCGCATCGGTAGGCGGAAGCCGGCTCCACGTGGGGAGAATGTCGGCTTCCCTGCTGAGGAAGGGGCTGGAGCTGCTGGAGACGGAGACGGAGACGACGACGACGGCGGCGGCGGGTGAGTGGGCGGGTGGGGCCAGGCCTGGGCGGGGCTCAGATCCGTCACCTGCGCGGTCACGTTAACGTCTCTCTCCCCGTCCCCGCAGGGCACCAGCCCGGGCTCAGCAGCCCCCAGCAGCGGCCGCGCACAGCCCCGAAGAGGAGGAAGGCGGCTCGGGGGCCTGGCAGGAACAAGACCACGGCCAAGGGCAGAGTCACCAAGTCGGCGATAGGTGACGGAGACCCTCCCCGCCGCCACTACCCCTTGCTGGTGGGAGGGGGCTGGGCACAGAAACCGGGGACTAACTGGAGGAGAACCCGCTGTTCTGAAACACCCCGCCCCCGGGGCCCCGAGGAGCCGGGGGGGGTGCTATCACCCCAGGCCATCTTGGAGTAGGAGGGCAGCTCTCTCGGGGCTGCCAGCTTTGTGGGGGGAGCAGCCTGTTGCATGCAGGTGACCCTACCTCCTAGGCCTGCCTGCTCGTGACTGGGGCTCCATAGGAACCTCTTTATGCCTGGCTGCACCACGGGGGACCTGATCACAAACCTATCCGGGTTACCTTGTGTGTCTCCTGCTGGATATCCTGTCCCCATGACTCCTCAAACAAAGTTTTGATGCACAGGGAGACACCCCCCAGCAATAGTGTCATAGCCTGGCTGCGATACCCCCATCTGGCTCCCTGTACTCGTCAGCTAGTTGTTATACAGTACACACTTACAGAGATGTTTTGTTGCTCTCTGCCCTTTACCAGAGGAGTATCGGAAGCACCAGGCTGTGGATCACTTAAAGAAGAACTTGCAGTACATGACGAAGGGCCGATTCACTGTGGACAAAACCATCACGCAGCAGGCAAGGGAGTCCTGTTTTTGTTCCCTAGAATACCGCGAAAGGGGAAGTGGCTCCCACGCGTCATTCACCTTGGAGACTGGTGAACACCTGAGGCACAGGTCAATGCTAAAAATGAGTTTGGGTGGTAGCTAATGTTGGCCTTATTATTTTTGGGTGTGTTTACAAAATAACTTACTGCACTACCACCCTGAAGTCCCAAAATGATCTATAATGATCACACAACTATGCCCAGGGCCAGCCTTAGGATTTCTGGGGAGATCCAGCAAGATGATTTTATAAGGCCTCTTTCCCAAAACATAACTAATTGTACAGAAAAATGTGTATTTTGGGTTATCCAATAGAATCTTCTGTTTTATAAGTGCAGTCAATAATTCTGGGTTATTTTCATTTTTCTCCCCTTAATAATAGAATTCAGGGTAGTTGGCAACATTAATATAATCATGTAACCTTACTCTCTGCATTAAAATTTACCTCTCTCTGACCCATTTCTTCCCCGCAGTCCTTTTCCCCTTATTCAAACCTGTATTTCATTGTGTGTCTACAGTCATAGAATCATAGAATATCAGGGTTGGAAGGGACCTCAGGAGGTCATCTAGTCCAACCCCCTGCTCAAAGCAGGACCAATCCCCAATTAAATCCCCAGTCCTCCATATCTCTCTTTAATAAAACCAATGAGTGTATGTCAAGTTGACAATTTTAAAAAAAGTTAATAATTCCAGTTGCTACATGTGGTGCCCCTTGTGTTTTTTGTTTGTTTGTTTTTGATTTTGTTTTCCTATCACTTAAAATGTTTCTTTCCCCTATTGATTTTTAAAGACCCATACAACTGGGGAAGCTAATGAAACCGACTACTGTCTGTCAGGTGTAAAAAGTAAACTGGGGGAAAAAGGAAAAGTTTTGCTCTGTTTCCTTTATATCTGCATGACAGGTTTGGAAAAAGTACAAACGTGTATTAAGTAGCTGGCATTTATTTAATAGCTCAGCATATATAGTGTCATATGTACTAGTCACACAACTCCCCTACAGAGGGAGGTGGTATCCCCATGTTCCAGAGGGAGAAACTAAGGCTTTACCAAAGCTGTGCAGGGCATTGGTGTCGGAGCCAGGTTGAGAACACAGAACTAACTTTCTCTGTCCTGTGCATAGCCCACTAGACCATGCTTCCCCCTCTCCCTGTTGAGTTGTCCTAGACACTACAATGACTGCTCAGCAGGGAAACCTGTTCTGCTGTGAGCAGCTCGCCAGTAACTGAGAAGCAGTTCCCAGCACCTTGGGTAGTACTTCCCACCTGCCTGGGAATATGTTTTGTTGTTTGTCTTCAGATAAATGCCTGTGGGTTTCAACGAAACCAAAAGCAAGAGAACTAAGCAGTCGAAAGGGATGCTGTAAATCTCCCGTTCTTCTTAACAAAGTTTGTGATAAGCTTTCAGCCCTAGCAGTTGGTTTTGGCTTCAAGGCCCTCAGCAGCAAAAGAGCTGAGACCATCTTTGACATTAGTCCCAAAAACCCAAGTGGAGTCTGCTGCTGCCCCAAACACAAGCTTTTGTTAACCCTAGTAAACATCTGTCTTAATTCTCTGCATTGCCAGGACTGGAATAGCAGGGGATTACTGGCACAGTAGTTTATACTGTGTCTGGGGCTGGATTAGCAAAGGCTGTAATAATCTTTCCTTCCTATTATTTGAAGGTTCTCAACCAGAATAGGGGCAGGAAATCTAGAGACCGCCCCCCAAAGAAGCCAAAGAAGAAATCTGAAGGCACTGTCTTCACGGAGGAAGACTTCCAGAAGTTTGAGAGAGAATACTTTGGGCGAGCTGGAGCAGTGTGATGAGAACTCTTGCAGCTCCAGGCTTTCCAAAACTGAGTGTTCAGAGCATGGGACTGACCGTGTCCTCCTGTTTGGGATGGGAGACCAGGGGAGTGGGATGATACCTCTTGCCAGCATATGTTTAGATGTCACGTCCAATGCAAGACTTCACACACATGTACAGAATTTGTTAGTTACTAGCATGGGATGTGATGCTGTAGACTCAAAAGCATCCAGGGAGATCATGTTTCCTCTACTGCCCACTTCCAGCCAGCACCTCACTCATGTTCTCCTGGAGTAGAGCAGACTCTTCATTCAAGCCAGATGCAAATTCTGCTCCTCTGAGACAGGATCCTTCTATCCATCTGTTTTGGAAAAGACAGCTTAAAGTGGCAGGTTTCATTACGGGAAACACAGGAGACTATTTAGAGCTGAATTGTGGAGCAGCCGGAACAAATTATCAGAAAAAGGAAGGATGCTCTAGGAAGGAGAAGATGTGAGTACTATTCAAACCTCTGTTTAGGTTATGATCTCCATCAGGCAAGGACCTTCACTTTTTTCTCCTTGTGTAATGCCATGTAGGCTTATGGTGCTTGAACAGTAGTCACTGTGGCAGAGAATGTACTTGCGTACCTCTGTGGTAGAATAATTATTCCAATAGGGTAGGGTTGGCAGAGGTGAAACAGGTCATTCAGGCACAATTCTTTTTAGGCTGTTTTAGGGCTGTGTGAAAGGTCTCTGTGCTCCATGTTAATATATGGATATTTTCTACTTTCCTTCATTGGACTGCTGAGTGGAAGTGAAATAACCCTTCTGTACTGGACTCCTCCCAGCCTTCGCTCCCACAAATCTCCTTATACAGCTGGTAGTTTACACTCAAGCCCATTAAATCAGGGTACTAAACACATGGGGGTAGTGTTGCTGCATAGTACAGCTGGCCCTAGTATTAACCCACATATCAGCTCCTCTGTCCCAAACCTGCTAAGTGTGGCTATCTGTCACTTCCCCTGAGAATACCCACCCCTCCCTGCCTTGCAAACACCAGCTGGTGAAGGTGAAGGCAGTTTACTGTTGAGAACTTTTGGCTGGTGATTGTGATGCTGGGTCAAGGGAGGCAATTCTCTCCTACCCAAATACTAATGCTAAATGCTTTGGATGTTGTAACATGTAGTTTGGCCAGCAGATGGGGAAGTTGTCCATTGTGCAACCCCTATACAATGTGTTTCTGGAGGGTTGGTGGCTACTTTGCCATCTGTTATACTCCCCAGAAAGTAGGACCTTTGTTCTCCACTTGAAAACAAAGGGGTAAAAAGAATGAGTGTCCTCTCCCCTCCCTCCCCCTCAAAAAAAGTAGCCCAAATATTAATTATGTGAATCATTGCCTCTGTGTAAAATAGGCTGGCTGAGCTTCAATGTCGAGCAGCCCTGTACACTCTCTTCCTTTCATTCTCATTGCAATCCCCAAATTTGTTCCTGTTGCTCCTCTTTCCTCACTGGTGTGTTCTACACCCACTTACCTGCAATACACAGTGACCAGATGGAGAGTGGGGGAGGATTTCTCAGAAATGCAAGGTTTGGGAAGCCAAGATATTATTGAAACAGGAAGCTGTAGTGACCAAATACAGCTAATTCTGGGTATTAGTGTTCCTTATTGTACATGTTGCTTGGAACTTCTTGTGTAAGAGGATGGAAAGGGGATTTCTCAATTACTCATTTCTCTCTTCTGCAGACAGACTAGAGCAGTGCAAAGACCAGTTCCCTTCTTTTGTACGTGTTCTTGGTGCAGAAACAGAAAAATGTATATGGCAATGAGTAGCTTTTCCTGGTGTTTTTTTAACTGTACTTTGAATTTGTTTTCAGTTGGCTAGAGTAAGTTTAGAGAGAGCCATTTTTCGTTTGCCATCTTGTTTAAAATAAAGGTGTCATACATACTGTGGTGGTGGTGGAGCTGCTCTGTAACGTATGCATATGTATGTTGCCATGGTTACTGGGGTGTTTACTGTATGAAGATTGGTTTAATAGGGGCTGGAAGGAAAAACAAGCAGGAAGTGAAAGAACACCTTGAAATAAGCCACCCTTCCATAGGGCTGAGTCCCCTGAGGGGATGCAGCTACTCTGGGCTGGAGGCAGTGGCACTGTCTCAGGTTAGGAAGGAAGGCTGGGGGTCAAGGGGGCTTAAAAATTAGGCCTGGGCAGCCCTCTACCCCTCAGCAAGCAAACCCTTAACTATTTGGGCATGGTCCCGTAACAGCCCAGATCTGTGAGGGCTTTAGAGGATTTCCTTTCCAGCCAACTTGCAAAACTAGCTTTGTCCAGAGGGGCCCAAGTCTGAGAATGAAGAACAAGAAGTTGGGCAGTTTAAAAAGGGGCTTCCTCACAAGAGAGGAGGTGGTTGGGTAGGGGCACCAGACTGACCCAGGTACCCATGGGGGAGGCTGAAGAAGTTAGGTTTTCTTAGGCTGCTACTGGGAGATGGAAAGTGATATGCAGGGAGACAGCTGTTTTTTGAAGTCCTCTAAATTATTTGTTCCTACTGTTAACCTTCTTAACAACAATACTTTAGTTTTATTTGGTCAGTGTGTATGCTGCTGGTCACAGACTCCAGAAGGAAAGAACCATATGAGCTGAATCCAGTTGGACCTGCTGGGTAAGAACAGGTGATCCACTCCTAGACCTGGCCCTGTGTGAGAACTGTGGAATTGTCACAAGGCCTGACACCTGAGGGAGTACACTCAGACCAGGAAGAGAACAGAGGTGCAGCTAGCCCTGTAACCATGAGACATGCTAAGAACAATTTAAACATGTATTTACACATTCCAACTAATTCTGCTGTTTCTGCCTGTATTAACTTATCTCGATCCTACAACAAGTGTGAAGGCCTCTTCAGGCTTGCTTCTGTCCATCAAGTGGAAGAGCATAGCCCAGCCACGTGTGATGCTTGGACTGAGCAGGCCAGTGAGTCCTCTTCCCCATCCCTACAAGCCATTGCTCACTAAATATAAGCTGAAGGAACAGCATTTTGGACAGTGGAGTGTAGAACCACAGCAGACTTCATAATATAAAATATATTAAATGTGCAAATGCTAGTGAATGACCATTGTGGGGCATTGAGAAAGCGGGGTTAGAAGAGCCTCTTGCTTCACTCAGCCATCACCTACAGGCCAAGCTGTGCCCCACAAGAAATCGGGAGGAAGGCTTTTAGTGTGCAAGGAGTGGCCTGGGTGCTTTTACTTTTACATAGCTCCTATTTCCCCTTGGCTTCCATTGACAGAAGCTCTTCACCCTGGAAGAGCTGATCCTGTCAGAGTGCATTCCCTTCTGTTTTAGCTGTGTGCTCCCACACTTGATTTCTTCCTACTGCTGTGGGATGAGTACTGAGTTGGATGAGCTCACTGTGGCTAGACTCTGGGCTCTGGTCCCAGATCTGCACCACTGGCTGAGTATGCTGCAGCAGAAAATAAAGATAGCTAAAGCTAGGGGGTTGCCATCTTATGTATAACCCCCCCCCCCCCAGGGAGGAGAAAGGCAGCAGCACCTTTAATATAAATGTAAATAACATGTGAGTCTGGTAGTGGTCTACTTCTGGCAAAGGAATTACAGGGCAAAGTGTCCCTGGGAGTTTAGTATTGGACTAGCCCAGGGGTGGGCAAACTTTCTGGCCCAAGGGCCACATCAGGGTTGTGAAACTGTATGGAGGGCTGGGTAGGGAAGGCTGGGCCTCCCCAAACAGCCTGGCCCCCACCCCCTATCTACCCCCTGACTGCCCCCCTCAGAACCCTTGACCCATCCAAACCCTCCCCCCCCCCGCTCCTTGTCCCCTGACCACCCCCTCCCAGGACCCCCCTGCTCCCTGTCCACACCCTTGCCCCATGACAGGCCTCCCTGGGACTCTCATGCCTATCCAACCCCTCCTGTTTCCCCCCCCTCCAAACCTCCTCCACCCTACCCAACTGCTCCCTATCCCCTGATTGCCTCCCAGGACCTACTGCCCCTTATCCAACCCACTCCCTGCCCCCTTACCATGCCGCTCAGAGCAGCAGGAGCTTGCAGCCAGCTATGCTGCTGTACTGGCAGCATGGTGAGGTGAGGCTGCGGGGGAGTAGGGACTGCAGGGGAGGGGCTGGGGGCTAGCCTCCCCAGGGCCAGGCAGGTCAGTCCCACGGGCAATAGTTTGTCCACCTCTGGGCTAGCCTATTATGAATCAGGTCCATAAAGCCAGGGTGTGGCTGACACTCCTCCTACAACACGAATGGAAAGCAAACTGGTAGAGTCAATGTTGACATGCACTCAGAGTTAATACAAGCTTTGTTGGTACAAAAGAGGAAGCATATACTAGATCCAAGGACCCGTCCCACACTGGAAGTTGAATTTAGAGAGTGCCTCTAAGTGGCTCTCTACTGAAAGTATGATGCAGGAGAGAGGAGGTCTCCAAGGTAGCCAGAACCCAGACACCTTTAATGGCTAAAAAATTGGCACAAATTGGAAAATAGTTACTCTGTACATATTCAATGCAGATGTTACCAGGTCTGGAGGATTAAGTGATATGGGAAAAATAAAAGGAATGAGGTTTATTCTCACTGGAAGATAAATGTTGCCCCCAAAAAGGCTTTCAGAGTTAAAGAAGAAGTTGATAATCAGTAGCAGAATTGTTACATAGGGGTTAGGGGAAAGGAGGGACAGTCTCAAAAGGAAGAAGGTGAGGGGAAACCAGGAATTTAGGCAGAACCAAATCACATAGTGGAATAAGACACCAGGAAACACAAGAGAGGCAAAGGATCCGTTTGCTCAAGAGGCACCTTGACTGCTTTCTGGAGAGTAGACTGAAGGTTGTGCTGGGATGAGAGAGGGGGAAGGGGTTGGGCTGCCAGGCTATGGCTTTTGCCTGAAATAGTCTGACCAGAATATCCTGCCTTATCCTGCTGGTTAATGCAGTTCAATGGCACTAAGAGGGAGTGCTCATCTCCCAAAGGGCAGTCTGTCCTTGCTGCTATTTCTGGGCTTCTTGCTAAGAGAGGTTAATTGGATTTTATCACCCTGACTTTCACTCTGCAAAGCTGCAGTGGGGATTCGGGCTTGCACACGAGGTACAGGAGTGCAGCTGTTTTCTCAGGACAGCAAAGGAGACGGATGGCTTCTTTAGGGGTGGTTTGCTTTTTTATTCGTATTTACAGAGAACTAGTACAAGCACCTGGATCTAAAAATAGATTGAAGAGGAAGTTATCGGCACACAACAGTAGCAGAAATAAAGCACACATGGTCAGAACAGCTTTGCAGAAGACTGCAGCCTGCCTGTATTGTCACAAAAATAAAGGGAAGGGTAGCCACCTTTCTGTATACAGTGCTGTAAAATCCCTCCCGGCCAGAGGCAAAATCCTTTCACTTTTAAAGGGTTAAGAAGCTAAGGTAACCTCACTGATACCTGACCCAAAATGACCAATGAGGGGACAAGATACTTTCAAATCTGGAAGGGGGGAAAAAGGCTTTTGCCTGTCTGTGTGATGCTTTTGCTGGGAACAGATCAAGGATGCAAGTTCTCCAACTCCTGTAAAGTTAGTAAGTAATTTAGCTAAAAAATGTGTTAGGTTTTCTTTGTTTTGGCTTGTAAATTCGCTGTGCTGGAGGAAATGTGTATTCCTGTTTTTGTGTCTTTTTGTAATGTAAGGTTTTGCCTGGAGGGATTCTCTATGTTTTGAATCTGACTGCCTGTAAAATTATCTTCCATTCTGATCTTACAGAGTTATTCTCTTATCTTTTTTTGTTCTTCTAATAAAGTTCTGGTTTTTTTTTTTTTTAGAGAATCTGATTTGGGTTTTTTGGGTCTTAAAAATCCAAGGCTGGTCTGTGCTCATCTTGTTTATTCTCACGCCTCCCCAGGAAAGGGGGTGTAGGGCTTGGGGGGATATTTTGGGGGAAGACGTCTCCAAATGGGCTCTTTCCCTGGTCTTTGTCTAAGACGCTTGGTGGGGGCAGCATACGGTTCAAGGCCAAGGCAAAGTTTGTGCCTTGGAGAAGTTTTTAACCTAAGCTGGTAAGAATAAGCGTAGGGGGTCTTGCATACAGGTCCCCACACCGGTACCCCAGAGTTCAGAGTGGGGGAGGGACCCTGATACGAGTTATATATATGAACACGTGACTTATACTCAGCCAATAGAACAGGAGTGGAATATGCTGGGATGCATCATGCCTAGCTTGAGGCGCATGAGGAGAGTTGTATGAAGCCTGCATCTGCCCACACTGTACCTCCCTTGAGTCAGCTGTGCCATTACCACCCCCACACACACACACCCCCTCACTGAAACCCAGAAATACTCAAAGCCAGCACACACACACACACACACACACACACCCAGAATTCAAAATGGTCTTAATTAAACTGCCAACTATATGCAGGGACTGGTAGTCTCAGAGTGCGACAGATAAAGTGTATTTAACTTGCTCCATTTCCCTACTTCTCTCTATTGCTGGGCAGAGGAACTGCCCTTTTTGTAAACAGAGAAGAACCAATTTAAACAAGTATGATCCGAGATAAGGCGATGAGACAAAAGGTCATGAATCCTGACAAAATATAAAACAAATTAGCACATGAAGAGCTATCAGTTGTCCAGTCGGTCTCTAAGGAAGTCTAAGACTACATCTTCCTCCCCTTTTAAAAATGGTTTTCTTCCTTTGGCTCATCATAGAATGGTATTCACTGTGCATACAAATAGTGCAAAGAAAGGGATTAAAGAAAAGTTTCTCTAGCAGAGGGGGTATAACAATTCAATGGCTGGAAGTTGAAGCTAGATGAATTCAGAATGGAAATAAGGCATACATTTTTAACAGTGAGAGTTATTAAAGATTGGAACAATATACCCAGGGTTGTGGTAGATTCTCCATCACTGATAATTTGTAAATCAAGATTGGATATTCTTCTAAAAGATCTGCTCTAGGAA